TCCGTGTGTGCGTTCGGGCTCGCGTGGGATCTCGTCTTCGGCTGGTGCGCCCGACGTCGAATCGACCATCCCCATCTTAACTACCGTCAGCGACTACCGAGCATGGCGGCTGCAAGCCACCAAGGACGGCAAGTCGGTCGGCTTCGTGGCCACCATGGGCGCGCTCCACGACGGCCATCTCGAGCTCGTCAGGGCCAGTCTGCGTGAGAACGACTATACCGTCGTCTCCATCTTTGTCAATCCGGCCCAGTTTGCTCCCACCGAGGACCTGGCTTCGTATCCTCGCACCCTCGAGTCCGACATGCACAAGCTCGCCTCGCTCTCGCACTCGACTCCGTCACATTTGCGGCGCGTCGACGTGGCGTTTGTGCCCTCGGTCAAGGAGATGTACCCGAACGGCTTCACCCAAATCGTTGCCGATCAGATCGGCGCCTTTGTCGAGGTCAAAGGCCTCAGCCATCAGATGGAAGGCGGCAGCCGCCCCACCTTCTTCCGCGGCGTCGCCACCGTCGTTACCAAGCTCTTTCACATCATCCAGCCCGACCGCGCCTACTTTGGACAGAAGGACATCCAGCAGTCGGTCATCCTGCGTCGACTCGTCTCGGATCTCGTCTTTTCCCATCCGCCGTCGGCCGACCACCTCCGTGTCATCCCTACCGGCCGCGACCCCTCCGACAACCTCGCCCTCAGCAGTCGCAACGCCTACCTCACCGCCGACTCGCGGCAGGTCGCTCCCGTCCTCTATCGTGCGCTCAAGACGGGCCAGGACGTCTGGGATCAGCCGCACTGGACCAGCAAAGACAATGCCGAGCGCATCCGCCAGACCCTGCAAAAGGCAAGGGCCGTCGTGCTCCAACAGGCGGCACAATGTCAGAAAGACGGCAAGGGAGTCGAAGTGAAGCTCGACTACATCTCGCTCAACCATCCAAAAACGCTCCAAAATCTCGAACAGCTCCTCGAGCAAGACGGTCCCCATGCGATCCATGTCGGTGAAGGTGCCATCCTCAGCGGCGCCGCGCTCGTGAGCCAAGGCCAAGGCGGCAAGGTCACCCGGCTGATAGACAACCTCACGCTCGGATTCAAGCTCTAGTGTCCATCGCAAAAAGGATCTTTGTGGATGAGGAGAAGACGCGAAATTAAGCGGACGACGGCCTGCGAGTGAGTCCGAGTGGGTCGTCGACCGAGAGCTGCAAGTGGGCACGGGGTTGATGAGCCGATTCGAGCCGGGGGTGGGATGTGAGCAAGAGAATCTGGGTGGTGCGAGTGCCAGAGTGCACGTACCTTTGGAATGATGAGGGCGATGAGAGCCAGGAATGCGAATCTGCGACATGAAGCGGCGCAAGCGTCAGAATCGAGCTCGGGCGCGCCTTGGGCGCCTGCAGGGGGGTGCGATGCGACAGGGACTTACGCGAGAGACATCCACGGACCGCCCGTCGAAGCGTCCCTTGTCTTGCTCGACTTGAACGGCTTGTCGTGGGCGATATGGGCGCAAGCAAAGACGAGGCCTGCGTAGGCGATGTAGGGGGCGCGTGTGAGCATGGCGGCGCCGCTCATCATGCTTACAGAGGCAAGGAAGGAGGCGTAAACGTCGAGTTCGTTGGCTTTCCAGGACTTGGGCACGGTGAGCGGCCTGACCAGCTCGGGGCGGCGCGGATCGGACGAGTCCACCCTTCGATACGACATGGCTACTGGCTACTGGGTGGTGCGTCGGTGCACAGCGGTGGGGGCCAAGACAAATGTGCGTGGTGGTGGTCCATGCATCCGCACCAACGCTTCGCCGAATGCGATTTGCCCATTTTGGTTCGGAACTCGGGAGTCGGCGGGGTCCGAACCCTCCCGCACCTCTAGCGTTCTCTCTCCCGCACCTTTAGCTGTCGTTCTCTCGTTCGCCAGCGCGCGCGCACTTTCAAGCTATTAAGACCCATGGCTTCAAGCCCATCTCTGTGATTGTTTGTTTGCTTGTTTGATTGTTTGAAAGCTTTTATTGTCTTGCCTCATTTAGGCGGAGTCGGGGGCCGGGTGACTGTCGATCGGTCAATGGGGCCTGCCGGGCGCTGTGCGAGCGCCACCATGGAGAGAGAAGAAGGGAGGGGAGCGCGGCAGATTGGTGAGCCGTCCCAAGTGGGCCGGTTCGGCGTCAAGTTGCGCAGGAGGGGGAGGGGTGCGGCCTTATTGTGTTGAACGGTCACGGAGCGAGCTTTGTATTATTTGCGCATGTTGAAGCGCGGGCGACGCGCCGGCGCTGGCGGCGTCGCCGGTGGGAGAGGCTGCGGGTGAGCCGTCGCTGGTCGAGTGACCGGCGGCGACAGCGGCGGCAGACTTAAGGCCGGAGCCGTGAGGTGGTCGATCGTCGCGTGGGCGGTCGAGGTGGCCTCGGCTGGTATCGGCAAGGGCGAAGGAATCGTCGCTGGATCCGGTGGAGAGCTGCCAGGAGCCAGAGGCAGCGGCGTAGGCGCTGAACCAGGTGGTGAGTGCCTCGGTTGCCGCCGAGAAGGCCTGGAGCCGCCAGCGGTAGGCAGCAGGGCGGGTGGCGAGGGGTCAGTAGAGCAGGGTGCCGTCGTGCCGAGCGGGTGAGGAGGTGCGACGGCGCCAATAGAGAGTTGGTCCGTCATCGACGTGTGTGACTCCGCCGCCTCAGGCGCGAGGCAGCGAGTCTCTGTGACTGTGGCGGTGGGTGCAATGCCACACCGAGAGGGCCATCGTGCCGACTAGGAACATTCCGATGTTTTGCCCACTTTACAATGTGATGACATACGGCAGACAGCCTTTTTGCCTCGAGCTGTGTTGGCATCGATCGCGCGATCTCGAGTTGATGTGGGTGCCACTATCACACCTTCTCTCTGCATGCGCTGTGGCCATAGCCGGACATGCATCTCATAAATCGACAATTGTTTCGTGACAATCGTGAGCGCTCCTGCATGGTCGAAGCGTCTCGGTGGTGACATTTCTCGCGCGTACAGTATCATATGATGTCGGTGGACATGAAGTGAAGCGTCTGCCAGCGTATTGCAGCTCTCATTGCACGACCCACTTCCTGAAAGCTCGCCGTGCTCAGCCTTGTGCCGATTCGCATGAGTCCAGTCATAGCATAAAGGCGAGACGTTCCGCGCATCCTCCTCACTGCAGTCCATCATATCGAAGCTGCTCAATCCGGACGGCCATCTCGGTCGAAAATGGCAGCTCTCATGCTCTCTCGACTCGCTTGCTGGCTGCTGTTCGCTGCCATCAGCGTTCAGCTCGCTTGGTGCGCCGGCGACTTCGTTCCCGCTCGACACGGGCAAGATGCATCGAGCTCCTCTCAGCTTGTGCCGCAGACCTTTGCCGAAAAGTATCGCATCATTGATCCCGTATCGGGTCGACCGTGGTCCGAGCTCGAGTACAAGCACTTCGCCGACCAAGCGATTCCTCTGATCGACGGCGTAAAGTACTACAAGAAGAACTGGCGACTGTTTCGCACCGTGGGAGCCGACAAAATCCGCCACGTCGGGGTCGGCGCTACACCCGCGGACCTGCTCAAGCATCCGTACTATGTGGACTACTCGATGAGCGGCTCGCACATACCTGCTCTCTCCATCCGAGTTGCCGACATGCTTCCTCACAATCCCATGAGCTTGAGCAACCCCGACGTCGTCATTTTCATGCATTCGATCAGCGTGGACCGCCAAACCGACGCCAAGTTTCGGCTCGAGCCTCGATTCGTCGTAAGAGGAAGCGCTGGTCAGGGGCGTGTACCTGAAACCGACGGGCCCGCCCACAACATCAAATGGCAGAAGCGGCAACCGTGGAAGCCCGAGTATGTCTGGGTCGAAGAGGTTCCTGAAATCTTCCGTTCGGAGGCGCTGCGATCCATCGAGGCACTTGGTTATCCCCCCCTCACTATCGACGGGCAGGTGGCCTTGTTGGATCGAGAAAGCAGCGTCAATCTCTACGCTGCCGCACGCTCGAGCAAGCTCGCCGATCTCCTGGAACAGAGTCGACTGTACATGTTTCAATTCGTTCCTCCTCAAGCCAAAGGGACACTCGAATCGTACGGCTTGATGCGCCTCCCCATCGATGGCAATCGCGAAGCCTGGTTTCAAGGCCCCCTCTTCGACAGGTTCGACCCCTTGACCGGTCATATCCAACTCAAGATGTACACCTCGATGGGCAAGAGAACGCCGGTGTTGGATCGCGTCATGTACACGATGTCTCAGCAGGGTCGATATCGCCTCGTACCACGAGCCATTGTTCGACCGACCGGCGTCTATCCCAATGTCCACTTTAAGACCATCTATGCGATTCCTCCCGAGCTCCAGCAAGCTGCGAGTGTGGATTTGTCGTATATGCCTGACCTCGATCGTCCCGTGCCGACTTCCAGCGATCTCGATCGCCCCTTGCGCGTCATGATGGATCGGCCACGACCTCTGGGCCATCCCCTCGACTATGCTGCATCGCATCTGTTTCGGCTACCCACGAACGGGAACAAAGCGCTCTGGCCTGGCGCAGCGGGTCAGCGTGTAGCTCGGCAGACAGATCGATCGGACGAGCCTGGAATGCTCGGTCGTCCGACTCAGAATGCGATGGCCAACAAGATTGACGAGGGAGTGCGACTTTCATCTGCGGGCCCTCGGCGGCTTCCACACAGCCTGCATGGGGCTGCGCCTCAGCAAGACAGCCCCGGTGTCCCCGCAACGCCAGGAGAAAGTCCCGAGGTGGAGATGGTCGACAGCCTCGCTGCGAACCCTCAAGTTGAGCATCATCAGGCTTTCCATCCTCCTGTTGGACCGCTGCGTTCTGAAGAGTTCCGAGCTCATCCACCAGCGCCGCCGAGGCATTCTCATCACCAGCCGCAGTACTTCGACTACAAGCCTGGCCGGCCCAACCCGTACGAGCTTCCGCGCGACAGTCCCATCGACGTGTTGATGGCACATCTGGAGCCTGACGTCGAAGAGACTCGGCACTTCTTTCACACTTAGTCGTGAATTGAGCGCAACGACGGTCAGCCGACAAAATGCAACTTGAACACTCCACATCGCCTTGTCAGCATCGCAA